TCGCAATCAGCGACCGGATCAGCCGGTGGTGCGTCGCCACAGCGTCAGGCATGATCTCGGGGCATGTCGCCCACAGCGCAGTGCTGCTCTCGATGTCAGTGAACACAAGCGTCACGGGGTCTGTGGGCTCCTTCGGGGCGTTGTTGTTGTCACGGGCGTCTCTCCGGCAGCACAGCAGGACCACAAACAGGGTGATCAGCGCAACCCCTCCAACAACTGAGCCGACGATTACACCAATGAGCTGCGCCTTCGTCAGCCCAGTGACCACCGGCTCGGTGTATACCATCGACGGCGTCACGGGCGGGGTCAGCGGCGGCACCGATGGGTCAATGGCCCGCGACAGCGACCACACAGAGATGGACGCAGCGCCGTAGTTCTTCCGACATGTTTCACTGGTGGAGTTGTCAAGCGTGTTGGAGCAAGTGACGCTGTTGGAATCGGTGAAGGGGCCGTACGTGATGTCATCGACCTTGATCACAACGGAGTCATAGACGTAGTCCGTCAATGACTGCGCACTGACGACGTCAACAGAGTTCACGAGAAACTGAATAGCCTTCGACATTGCAAATCCCCACATGGCCAGAGGATTCCACTGCGGCCTTCGGGGAAACGCCTGGTGATACTGCGACACCAGCAGAGACGTTGTGTTGGTATCCGCCCAGTGGGGCAGACTCGTAGCGAACAGCAGCCGGTCAGTAGCCGCACTCCCGTTGAACGCAATACGGAGCGCAGGCAGCCAAACAGGAATATCCGAGTATAATATCATGATGCGCACTCCCTCATTCACGCGGAGGTGCTGCTCAATGGTAGCAGCGTCACTCACCGACAAGCCGATGATCAAAATGCTCCCCGTCGTCGGAAGGGCGCCAAACGGTTCTTTGGCACCCAGAAGCTGTGTGGACGTCAGCGATCCGCCAAACGTGACGAGCGAACGCCGCCACACATCAGCCATGGCCGCACCTTCGTCGTTGCGGATGACGGCGTGGGCGTTGGGGTCGCCAATGCTGCTGAGGTACTGCGCCAACACGAACATCTGCTGCTGAATGGTCGGGGAGAGGAAGATGACATTCCGCTTGAACTTCGTCAGCCGCGGTCTGAGGAACACAGGGTCGACGAATATGAGGTTCGGCACCACCAACACTTCTTCGAGGGCGATACCTGTGAAGATGTGCGTCGCATACGTTTCTTGCTCTGTTTTCAGATCCTTCACAACGCCAGCAAGCGTAGATGGCAGGACCTTCAACGTGTATTCGTGTCTGGCAGAAATGTCAAACGACACGGCCGCTTGCTGACCGCTCACAATCTGCAAGAAGCCAGCAGTAAGAATCTTGACGTCAGTGAGGAGCAGCTGGAGAGCGTTCGCAGGTGCTTTCAGCTTTTCTACGTTAAGGTAGCATTCACTACGAGGGTACGTATAAAAGGTTTCATTATCACATTCCATGTCGAACGTGCCGGAAACAGACCGCTTGATACCAACCGTGCGGCCGCCCTGGTTGCACTGGCAAACAGCACCATCAGCAGCAGCAGCTTTACTGCACTCACCACCAAAGTCACCAATGACGATTTCATCAATAACGTACCGGCGCTGGTTGAACAGCGCGGCTCCAAATGCAGCCCGGCTACGCGCCCACTCATTCGTGCTGAGGGCCTGTGCAAGCACCTCTCCGGCAATCCAGCCTGTGAGCATCAAGTCTCCATCAAACGGATCCGTCCGGAAGTGCTGCGTGTCGTTGTACATCGTCTGATTGCTGTTCGTCAGGTAGTCCAGCATCGAGGACCGAAACCGCTGGACCACCGTGTACTGGGTCTCCGAAGCCAATGGGTACGACGTCGTCGAGACTATCTGCCCACGCCGAAGAGTCACACCCGACGCCACTGCCGCCTTCCAGCCAGCCACAAGTGAGCCCAGCTGTGCGTTCGGTGCGAGCAGGAACGTGCCCGCAGTTCGATTGTCGGTCAGCATGCTGTTGACGAACGCAATCGTGGTCGGCGAGAGCACACCGCAGATAATGACAGCCTGAGGACAGGTATCCGCGAACGCCTCCCACTCCGCCTGGAACTCAGCGTCGCCGGGCCCTAACCCCTTCAGGCCACTCAGTGCGAACGTACTGGTCAGCGAGTAGCCCATTTTCCGCATCAGCTGCCGCACAACCACGTACTCCAGGTCGCCATACCTGATGTCTGTCAGGTACATGAAGCTCAGTCGCCGCACACGAAGGCGTGTGAAGGCGTACTGCACGAGAAAAGCCACCGACACAACGGGGTCCAAGCCGAGAAAGTAAAAGTGCGGGTCCCAAAAACGCGCAATGGCGGTGCCAGTGGTTGGAGCAAAGGCCACCAACTTGTGCCGCTGAAGAGCCGGCAACGCAAAAAGAAGCCCGTAATCATTACTTGGGCCAAAGACTGTAACGATCTCCGGGTGCTCCTTTATGGCCTTGTCGACGGCGGCTGGGACTTCCGTTGCCGTCATCGCAGGCTCCACCGAGATTAGTTCCACCTTCAGCCCACCCCCAACAGTATTTTTGCGCGACCACAGTGATGCAAGGAAGCCGGTCTTGTACGCCGTGATGGTTTTAATCGCAATAGGATGTGCTGTATAGTACAGATCGAGTATCTTCACAGTCTGCGGCTCCTGCGCACTCACACTCGTCACAAGGGTGGCGACAACAAGCAGAGCGTACACCGCAACACCGGTGGAATTTGCTGTCGGTATGAAATGCATGAGGTGCGGCATGTTTCGTGTGTGTGTGTGTGTGTGTGTGTGGTGTTTCTAGTGAAACAGAAAAGAGCGAAAAGCATGGCGGGCGGAGGGAGCAACTTGTGTCTGCGCCCACACAGAGAGGCAGAAGGACAGGCACTCACCGATGTAACGCCGATCGTGTGAGTGAAAGGTGCGAAAAATGTTCCTGACACAACATCCTGACAGGGAGCAAGCTGCACGCTTTATGGCGGAATCAAACGGAGTTGATGAACTTTCTTTGTTTGTTTGTTTCTGTGGGTGTATATGTTTTTCTGTGTTGTTGTTTTTTGTCTTTGTTTTTGTTTGGTTGGTTGTCTCCTCCCTGGTTCGTTTTGGAAAGCTTCATTGCTCAGCTGGGCACGTTCTTTTTTTTTTTCGTTTTCGATGTTGTTGTTTGTTTGTTTGTGTGAGTGTTTGTTTTTTGTGCGTCGGGCCTCCCACGCCGCTCCCACACATCCCCGCGCTCCTCTGCGTGGCTGCGGCGCCAGTCATCGTGGCTCGCTTCCTTTCCCTCCACTTGTAGATGTGCGCCATCTCCCTTCTGCCACGTGATCCGACTTCAGATCGCCCTCCAAGCTGCTTTGCTTTTGTTGGGTTGTTGTTGTTGTTGTTGTTGTTGTTTGTTGTTGTTTGTGGGGGGGGTTTCGTTAGCGTGCTGCCGCGGCTGTTGTACATTCCCCGCTGAATCTGCGCCGTCGCCCCCACCCCCCGCAGCGCCCCCGCAGGCATCACCGCAGCAACAGTCGCCGGCAACACAGAAGGGCAACAAGCGCTGCGAGTATCATGCACGCACGACGACCCCACGCCGTCCGGCCCTCCGCAAGAGCAGCGAGGAACGTTGCCACCCACATCGAGATGCTTTTCGCTGGCGGAGCGGCAAGCGGCTGCGCATCTTCCAAGGTGGGCGCCGCCTCCGTTTGTTCTGCTTCTGGTGCTGCGGCGGCTGCGGCGGCTGGGGAGGCAGGGGAGGCTG